TTAAATGTGGAACGTCGTAATTCCGAAGTACAATGTTTCATAAAAATGAAAAAAAACTAATAAAATGCATTCAACGGATTTTTAAAAAAGAAACTATCATGGAGTAATATAAATAATTGAAATATTAGTTTATATTAAACACATAAATAAAATGTATGAAATATCTTTGAAGAAGTATGATTGAAAAATATACTAATGAAATTAAATTAATAATCAATCATTCATTCATATTATTTATATAAAATATTAGTTATTTAATCACCGCATCATAAAATTGATTTCTTAATGTACTAAAATATTTCCACGCTCAGAATATAAATCTATTGTATAAAACTGTATCCACAAAGCATAAAATTTAAATATATTATTTAACCTTTTTACATTCGTTTTTCCAAACTAATAACTTATTAATAAAAGATCGCGTTCAAAGGTAAGCAATAGTAAATGTCAGGAGTTTCTTTTCTTATTTTATTAAAAGTATGATGGAACAACTTACGCAATAATTGCACATAATGAAAAGCAATAGCAAACAAGAGGACAATAACAATTGCAAATTTTAAAAATTAAAAAGGTTTTTATAATTTAAACTTGGTAGGCCAAAGAAGTTAATTTAAATGTTAATATTAATTTAAATATTAATACAATTTCAATCTCGGAAATTCTAGAAAATGTGTCATTAGGGAAATAATTCGGATGGTGTCACTTACCATCGAGCGAATAAATAAAATAATACGTTAATTGGGAATGACTGTTCTTTGAAAGTAGTAAAGAAGACGTATAAACAAATGCAGTGGAACAATAGAAACTGAGGTGAATCGGCCGAAAGAGAACATTTTACACTCTACAAAAATTTTATTATAATGGCGAATTAAAAGGTACCTGTGGAAATACAATATCGCTGTTTGCGCAGTTAATAATTCTCGCTCGTGGTCCCATATGCCTACACTGTTTGCCGTAATTTTTTGCGTGTTCAATACACATCTGACAAGTCAGGAAACGCGTAATCTAATAAACGATCTCACGTATTATCCGCTTGAATGAATCGGATTTCTCGTGAATATTCAACGCATGGCACATACTACAAAAACGTCAAGATTAAATGATCAATGCGCGGCACGTATGCGTATTTTGTCCTTTTTCGCGAAATCGATTGCCTTTCGCGAGAGGCATCGACGACTTCGTTACAAGCCATAAATATATTACTTATACAATTTCCAGACAATCAAGCCTACGTAGAAGCACACGCACACGCACACGCACACGCACACGCACAACTAAATCAATATCTTTTTCCTATCGTTTCGCGAGGAGGGAGGTAAAGCGTCGGGTGGAGGGAAGAAGAGGAAAACGAGCGCTAAGTGCAAGTGGTCGGCAGGAAAGCGAATGAAAACCCTTTTACACCCGAGATAACAGAGAGCGAATTGTTTTATGTACGAAGGCAATATTAAGATAATTGAATGCTGCGCGCACAAGGTTCGGACAGATAAATTATCTCATTACACGTCCTCGGTCCAACCGTTTTATTACAAATATTTAGCAGAAAGCAGCCGCACTGCCGCGCTTTGATTGATTTACGTGCCGAGCGTATTTCACAGTTCGCTGTTTTGAGGAATCGATCGACTTTAACGATTAGAGCCCATAAAGGCGTCCGAGCGTTTAATGTTAGCTGATTGAGAGGCTATGCGCGGCGTTAGAGTACTGGAGGAAGCAAAGGGGAGAGAGATGTAGTTGTATACAGCTTTTGAAACGTGTATTTAAGTGGCTATGTGGTTGAATGAAGGTTCTGGCGATTCAACGAGAAAACTAAATCCTTGTGTATGCGCGCGCGCATAAGCAAAGAAATTTTAGTACCATTTCTAGCGCATTTACGAGTGCTCGTGTATCAAACTACGCGCGTACATTCATTTCCTTACGATTGCTATATGATTTAATAATGCGCATACATGCAGAACACATACACAAAGTGATGGGGGTGGGGGTTGAGAGGGAGAGAACGAGAGAGGGGATGCGAGAGAGATAGATAGATAGATAGATAGATAAAGAGAGAGAGAGAGAGAGAGAGAGAGAGAGAGAGTACTTGCGTATGATTTAGTATATTTACATGGCATGTGCGTAAGCGTGAGGGAAGAAAATGGCAGAGGAAAGAAGTTAGCAGCGAGAAGATCGGTTGAAAGAGGTAGAGGAGGTAGAGGAGGAGCGTATGAAGGCAAAACGCGGAGAGTATAGAGGTATATGAGAAAACAATAGAGCTGATTTGCAAACAATAGAATAACGTTAAGAGTCAAGTATTATACGCGCTGTTGTTACTTCTTGTGTGCCATAACGCCGAAGAGCATATGCCCATTAATATTCAAAGGCGAAAATAATGTAAAGGACACGGCAAAAATCCTGGGGAATAATTTCAATTCAGCACGTAAGGGATGCCTCTCGACACGGGAGTGCGACTGAGACCAACGTCACCGAGAAGGAATTCATGTATGTAAGGTCGGTCATTGCGATTGTACCTCCTCCTTCTTCATCTCACTCACACTCTCTCTGTCTCTCTCTCTCTCTCTCTCTCTCTCTCAGTCACCCTCCTGCCGCCGTGACCGCCCTCACCCCAGAGGCCCTTTCATACTCCACCCACCCAACGCATACCCGCCCGTTCCATTTTTTCAAATCGAACTTGCGGAGCTCGGGTTAGGGTGGCTACGCGCCAATGCCAATGCCTCGGTAAGAATCTCATCGAGCAAAGTCTTACTTACGGCTTCCGGAGATGCACGAGCCCACCGAAAGCTCCTCGCCCACGCTCATTAAGTCCGAAGAACGAAACCGCCGGTAATTCCTGGCCGCTGCCCAGCTACAGATGGATGGGCAATCTAACCATTAACCGAAAAGTGAACTATAACCTCAACCGCGTTGCTACAGACAATCCTCGAGCTCGCCGCCGCTCAGTCTTAATCAATTCTCAAGACTCGCTGGAGACGTATTACCATAACAATTAACGATTTTTTACTGGCGATTTTTTTCTTATTTTTTTTATTTTTATTTTCTCTTCTGCTTTTTTGCGCCACGCGCGTGACGACAAAAGATTCTCTTTGGCGACAATGGGCCGTTTGGAAAATTCTCATTCGGACGAGTAGAGCTATTATATCGAGTTGCGAGTTGCGCGGCTCAAGGTTTCGTGTTTTATCGTTTTCAATTTATCGTAAATAATTTTTCATTTGACTCGGTCAATCTTAGATTAAAGTATTATAAAGGAAAGCTGTTAAAGCGGTTTAACGGCCGGCGGCTCTCTTTTTGTCGGCGTGCCGAGCCGCGAATTAGTTTATAATACATTTTATTTGCGGTCCGGTATAATGATCTAGTTACAGTTGGCGGAATTAATAATTTATTATGTGATAGGACAGTTTACTGGTTCGTTTTATAAAGTTGACTTTTAATTAAGCTCGTGTACGCTGCACTTAATTTTAAAATCAATAGGTTGTTACGAGTAGGAAAAGATACACGTTCAAGAATGCATTTTTTCTACTTTATATAACTTTCTTTTATAATGCACGGGCAGTTCTATACGAAGACAATTTTTACAATTATTCGTATTAGATTTGTAAATTATGAGTTAATTAGCCGTTAAAAAGTAATATTAAAGTAAATAGGCGTAACTTAGTAATTGAGACATTTCTATTGTCAATTTGCTTGCTCCTAAGATAATAAGAACTTGATTTATGGGTTTTCCTGCCCTGGTCTCCTGAATTTACATGGAAATTTTAAGTTTCCAGCGTCAACTATTGCATATACATCCCTTCTAAAGCAATATATCAAACTATTCAAGCTTATCCATGCACGAACGTATGAAGCTCAGCTTCATGCATAAAAAGCCGGACTACATTTCTTTTATTACTTATAATGCATACTGAAACTTAACTAATTCCAAGCACAATATAAAAGAGAAATGAAAAGAAATGAAAGAATAACGCAATACTCAACATTTTATTGTAATATATTGTTAAAATTTATGCCTACTAAAATAACTTTAATTCCAAATGAATTTAAAAATATTTATTATATTATAAAATGTTATGGCTCTCGCAGCATATATTGGAATAATCAAAAGATTCTATATTTTTCCTTACTGCGCCACTGCAATGATATATTCTGTCATTACGATGTTGAACAATTTTATCGAAGACATTTTGGCGCCCAAATGCAAATTATACCATACTTATTTCAGCTAGTCGGGAAATATAATTAAATATTACAAAGGACTGCTTATATCGCACTTATTTAAAAGAAAAATATTCAGTACAACAAAAACGCTGACTTAGAAAATGATTAATTGCATTTGTAAGAAACCAGTTGCGCTAAATAATTAGTTAATTATGCTGATCATATAACAGTTAATCTAATCTTTTTTCTTTTTCATTTTTTATTTTTATTTTAACTGGCATTAATATTAGTATATTTTTATTGTTAATCGTCAGTCAGAATAAGTAGTAATACTTCACGAGATATCAAATAATCAAATATCCCATGATTAAAAAGAGCTCGGTAGATTCCTTACGCTACAGCCTATTGAGAAAGTTCTGTACGAGTTTGTCATACGGATACATAAGGATACATAAGGATATTATAAATTTATATTTTTAATTAAATTTCAATATTTTCAATTAAATTTCAATATCTTTAAGCACTTAACCAATATATTTAAGCAACAGTTTTTTCATTTTATATGCAATAAACAATATATATTTTTTTACATAAAGAATATGAATTTATTATGCGTTGTTAAGATTAATAAAGCGTTATCGATCATCAACGAAAGGCATTTCGAGTGATTTAAATATTTTTACGAAAGAGCAAGAATCGAAACGACGGTCCCGATGAAGAGTTACGCGATTCAATTCGTACGATCTAAATGAACGAATCGCTCAATCAGTCAATGTTGAGCTCAAAAAAGTAGTCATAATAGATTCACTATTCAGTAATAAAATGAAAATCAGAAAGGGAAATGGAGCACTCACCCTGGCATCGTCCCCGTCGTCGTTGCGTCTGGGCCCCTGGAAGAGGACGCTGCCCATTTGCACTTGCAGGTTCTGCTGTAACAACTGGGCCAACTGCGGATTCTGAGAGAGTATTGCCGGATTCTGCTGAAGTAGCTGTGCCAGCGCCGGATTTTGTAGAAGAATCTGACTCAGAGGCGAACTGCCCGCGAGTCCTGGATGAAGGGCTGCTGCGGTACCCGGTTGTTGCTGGACATTTGGTGATTCTGTGTTAGAGGTTTGCGAGGATTGCGAGGAGGAGAGGTGGGCCGCGTTGTTTTGGCGCGATGGACTCTGAGGCGTATGGGGCGGCGTCGGTGGACTTCCCGGTGCCATTGACGACGCCTCCTTTTCCTCTTTCACTTTCACGCGGACACCTGAAAAATACCAAGAAGACGGCTTCGGTCAGATGAGATCGCTCCTGAATAATAATAATTGGGGCGTTGAGTGAGGCGTAATTGACGGTTGAACACGGGCCCTTTTATTTACTTTGATTTCCTAAATATATAATCGTCTATATTTTTAAAGAATAATGATTTTGTATTGATGGGATATGTATTGCCATTCGGTAGTACTTCAAAGCATTAGTAATGATGAAATAGTTTTTTATTAATTAGGCTTATGAAAGTGTTAGCAAAACGTATTTATTACTTTGTTCTTGCAATATATTATAAATCGTGTTTTCATGAAATATTTTAAATAATTGGCTGAAAGATCTCAAGGCTAACAGAATATGATTAAATGATGATTGTTTCAGATATAAAAAGGTGTATACAAAATTTTCTTATTAATTTCGAATATTAAAACGAAATTCAAACTAGACTTATCGTCAATATAAGTACTATCTACAATTTATTTTTTGGTTTCCTTGTTAATTTTTAATGTAATTTAATTTAACACGAATTAGCTGCAGGCAGTTTTTTTTTTTTTTTTTTTTTTTGATATATAATTTTAGAAGCATCGTTGCATTGATTGATTGATATATTTTCAATGAATGAAAATGAAATTATAGTTCTTTATATTTCAACGGCAGGAATCATATTTTAATGAGTAATCACAAATTTAAAAGTGAAAATGTAAACGTAATGATAAAGATATTATTTAATTATTTCACAATGTACATTCAAATATAATTAACATCATCGAAAGGAATTAGATTTTTCGGTGAACCGACTGTGTTGTATTTAAGTCATTAAGTATTAATGTTTGATCGTGACTTTTTAAGTTTTAAAGTTTTAAAGTAAATTTGTTATAGCAACTATTTTCTTTCGTTTGTTCGCTCTGTTTTATTTATATTTTTTTTTTTAAATCACTTTTAAATTCAATCCACTTAAATTTATATACATTTTTTTTTAAGTTTATTGCTATTTAAGTAAATTTCTCGTAATCGGAAACTAAATAAATTCATCGTATATTCAAATATGAAATGGCAAAAAGTCATCGTGTAACTAATTGAAACATTAAGTAGTGCTGAGGTTTCTCAATGAGTCGATCAAATATTAAAACAATGCTATTCAAAAAGTAGGTAAATAAGCAGAGAACATTTCTCATCGAGGTATACGAGAAAATCTTCTTAGTGAAATGAGTGCTATGCCAACAACTGCAAAGAGTGAACAATAATATGGTCGTGCGCAAATTTCAGATAAATGTATTTCAATGAAAATTTTACCTAAAAGCAATTCAGTCGGTATCGCCGTTATAAATTATCATTTTTAACGAGTTACAAGGATATATATGTACACGAACGAGCAGTCTCTGATATTGTTACCTAATCTCGAGTCGAGCGTTTCGCGAATCGGAGAAATAAAAGGCAGGGACGCTTGTCGCGATATATTAACAGGCTCGTGTAGTTTCATTGTAACTGAAAAGGAGACACATTACGGTGAAATAGAGTTTAAAGAAAACATCTTTTCTACGTATACTCACTCGAAGCGTATATTTTAAGCGTAGCCCAGGGCACAAGATTAATTTGATAATTCCCTTGCATAATTTGCTCTAAATGTTATTTTAACATCAGGAAAATCGGTTGCATTACATAAGTTTCACTCTGGATTAGATGAGATAACGCGGTGAGGGTAGGGTCGGGGAAAGGGTAGTTGGTAGGGGGGTCGCCGGTTGGGCGATAGGGGAAGGGGAAGGGGGATGGAGGGAGGAGAGGGAAAAAACAATGCTCGACAAATTGTATTCTAGGCCGCTTACTCACAAACGAGTTTTTGTAAATTTATGTGGACTTTGCATAAAATAATGACTTTCACCATGTCGCCTGCTTTTAAACTACACGCAGTCAAATACACGCTTAGAAGATATGCGTGAAATTTCCAATCGCTCTTAAAACTTATTTACGCTTTATTTATGAAACGATACATACACAGTTCCTGCGGTGCAAATGTTTTAGCTCTTTAATACGAGACGAAATAATTTCTAATAAAAAAAAAAAAATCTATAACACTAGCAAGCGCGCGACGCATTAAAATTCGCAAGGCGATAATTGAGTAAAAATCGAGTATATTCATGATATAAATTTGTGTAGAGTGCTAAAAAGCGAAATTAGAAAATTGTAATATAGAAATTATAAGAAGTAAATGTTCCGCCTCTTTAATAACGTTAATTTCATGCTAGATGCATAGTAAACATATTATTAATGCTTGCGATACTATTAACCAACATTAATTTTCAGGCAAAGAATGAAAAACATTTGAGGAAAATGTTTTCCATAAACACATTAAAATATTAATTCTCTTTTCATGATTTTACTATTGTGGTTATTATAGATACTGCTGCCATACCGTCTATTCTCTCTCTATTCTCTCAAGCGCGTGCTCTTTCTCTCCCTCAGTCTTTATCTATCTATCTATCTATCTATCTATCTATCTCTCTCACTTACTCTTTCATTTCTTATTGCTTATACTTACTCGCTAACTCTCTCATTCGGTCGACATATCACCGAGTTTGCCAAAGTACATAAAACGCAAGCGCGCGTATGTACACACACGCTCTTGAGTATCTCCCGCGAAATTCGCTTGGCTCGGCTTGGAACTCGCGATAAATAAACGCTCCTAAATCATCTCACCCTTTTTCCTCGCAGCATTATAACATTGTCGGAACTTTGATGAGTGGCGGCGGCGGCGGCGGCGGCGGCAGTGTCGGTAGCGGTGGCGGGAGGGGCGGAGGGGCAAGCACTGGCTCGTATATCTCCGCGTTTTGCGATTGGCTAAGAAATAATTTTTGCGCGCCGCTGGCGACGACGAAGAAAAGCGAAGGAGCGCCAATCAGTCTGCTTCTAATTGACTTTCCAAGGGAATATTGTAGCCGCGACGGCCGTCGCCATTTAAAAATCGATGACGAGACTGGGAGCAATATAATTATTTGCTAACTGCATGCGCGTTAAAGGTATTTTTCTTTTGTTCTATATGTGATTCGCGAAAACAAATGCTTTTTATTATTTTATGTTTTTATTTTGTTTTAAATTATTCGTTGCAGGCACAAATGTTTTTCCATACCTCACGGATCATTTTTTGTTCTCAATGGCTCGGCGAGTCTTTTTATTTATTTAATTTATTTCAATTAAGTGTTATTTAATATTCCACTGTATTTTAAAATATTGTAAAAATTATTATACTTAATCGTTTTCAAAATGTTTAAAATATAAATTCTTTTATCGAAGGAAATGTAATGTAAGCATGAGAAATTAGAATTTTTATCAAATTACAAGTAATGATAAACTTGAAATAATTTAGTATTCTAATATAATTTGCTAATAAATATCAATATATTATCTTAGCTAATGTGCAAAATTAATATCTTAACATTATGTTTAAGAATGCATACTAAATAAATATATATATAATTTAAATTGAGCGAAATTAGAAATAGTATTAGATATACTTGAATTATACTTCAGATATATATATATATATATATATATATATAAAGTGTATTTTCATATAAAATATCGTGATCAATGGCATTAAGCCGTTACGCATTAAGGAAAAATTTTAACCAAAATCTGAAAAAATAATAAAGAAATATTCGTGTTGATTTTAGAAATAATGCGACTCTCGTAACAAAGCAGCGTTGAGTTATAATCCCCATTTAGCTTGGGCCACGACTGCGGCTAAACTGAAAAGAAGTTCATCGATGCGCTTACTTTTTCCCCGATTCAGAAAAAAACACATAGGCGACGGGAGAGATGGGAAGAGCGAGACAGAGAGATAGATAGATAGATAGAGAGAGAGAGAGAGAGAGAGAGAGAGAGAGAGAGAGAGAGAGAAAGACGAATTCATCCCGGATTGGCCGAGGAAGCTCGTAAGAGTGCTGCAGTCCACGAGAGTAAGAACAGAGAATGCGAGGCGCCAAGTACCGGTGGAGAAAAAAGGTGGCGCAAAAAAAACGAGAAGTAGTAAAGTAAATCGATCTCGGGAAGGGCGTCTTTTTTTTCTTTTTTTTTTTTTGAGGCTCTAAGAGAGGTAGGGATAAACTCGTGAAATTGAGACGTCTCGACATTATAAAGTCCCGTAATCGCTCGGAGCAGGTACATCTGCTCCGTTTAATCGATCAATTGCTCTCACTCGCTTGCTCTCGACTTTTTTTTAAATCGACGGCTTTCCAAAAAAATGTGAAAGCCACCCCTCGACGATGCGCCTCGTTCCGATGCTTCGCTCGATCCGTATACTTTGCCTCGACAATGAGAAAATTTATTATGTTTCGACTGCATATTGCAACTTGTTTTTTCGCTTCTTCATTTCATGGATGGATTTTTTTTTTTTAGTCTCTTAGGCGCCTCTCCATTGTCACGAGTGGAAGAGGCTGAAAGCGAGCTAATATAGCAAATATTTGGTGAAAACAGAACGTTTTCTCTTTTTTCTCAATCTTATTAAATTGTAATTCGTACGTGATTTCCGCATTTTTTGTTTGTTTTCTTGGTGAATTGTTCGAATGATGAAGCGAGCGAATAAATTGCAATGATCGATCTCGGTTCGTAAAATATATCGATATTATTTATAGTTTCGTTAAAGACGATTTTTATTGCGCAATAGACCGGTGCAATTTCTGAAATCAACCATTCCTGAATCTAAGCGCGCAGCTTTATATTCTTGTTTAGTAACGGTTGGTCACGATAGTTTACAAGTAAAAGCAAGACTTGTCTATATGGATATTTTTTTAAATTCTATAGGATATAATAAATTAGAATTGCTATTTATTACATATAATATAATTATTGAATTATGTTGGAAATTTAATCATTTATATTACAGCTTATACAAGTTACGAAAGCAATTCGAGTGCCTTGATTAAACTCATGAATATGTAAGCTTCGAAAATTGATATTTCATAAGAGCTCATTGAACTTATTTATTGTTATTCATAATTTTTAAAA